ATGATGGTCAATTAGCATATTCCCTCTTTATTATATAGGATATTCTTATTTATTTCAGAGAGAAAGGGAGAGGGAGAGAGATAGAAACATCAATGATGAGAGAGAATCATTGATTGGTTGCCTCCTGCAAGCCCCACACTGGGGATCAAGCCCGCAACCCGGGCATGTGCCCTGATCGGGAATCAAACCGTGACCTCCTGGTTCATAGCTTGATGCTCAACCACTGAGCCATGCCAGCAGGGCCACATGTGGAAATTTTATACTGGAAATTTGGCTAGTGAAACTGAGAAACTGAATTATAAATTTTATTTAATATTGGTGAATTTCAATTTAAATAGTCACTTGTGTCTAGTGACTACCATATTGGGCAGTGCAGCTCTAGAGCTTTTACACATACAGATTTACATACTATTATTACTACTTTGTAAAAATGGGATTATGCTGTGCATATTGTTCTGCATATGATATTTTATACTTAAGGTATAATGACATTTTCCAGGTCAGTTTAGTCAGTACATTCTTTTCAAAGACTATACCATCTTTCATTATGTGAATTTGCCATAGTTCCCTGATAATGGGCAATTCAGCTATTCCCAGTTCTTTAACAAATGCAGACATTTTTGCACCAAATGCCCTTGAACATATATGTGTAAACATTCTTAGAAGTGGATTTTCGGAGTCAAAGAGTATGAATACTTCAAACTTTAACTAGACATGGTCAAATTGCCCTCCAAATAGGTCACATCAGTTTCCATTCCTACCAACAATACCTATTTCTCCACATTGCCAGTAATGATTATCATCAATTTATGTATTTATTTAATTTAAAAATATGTATATTTTTTATTGATTTCAGAGAGGAAGGGAAAGGGAGAGAGATAGAAATTTCAATGATGAGAGAAAATTATTAATTGGCTGCCTCCTGCATGCCCCCCTACTGTGGGATTGAGCCCGCAACCGGGGCATGTGCCCTGATGACAAATCTAACTGTGACCTCCTGGTCTATGCTCAACCACTGAGCAATACTGGCTGGGCTCATCAATCTTTTTACATGTTTGCCAGTATGATAGATGATGCTTACACCCTAATGACTAAACATTGCTACAAAGAAATAGATCCCATAACTATGTTGATTGGTACTATCACAGGTTTATGCTCCATAATCTTAGCTGTAGTTATGTAGTCTTAAAGCCACTTAGCAATCATATTATGTGTCTCTGTTTGAGTGCTGTCCACCAAGCAGGTATTCCTAATTTTTACCTTTCATGCTGGCTACTCCACTCTTACTCCCCTCTCCATAAGCACATGTAAGCATGTCTCTTCATGAAAAAAAAATGAAGGATAGCTCTCATCTTCTACTATTATACTTACCAACTCTTTTTGTGTCTCCTTCCTTGCTATCTCATAGGAAATGGTGTATCTTCTGTGTAAGATTTATCTCTTTACCTGTATTCTAAATCCCATCCCCTCCTTCTTCAAGGAATATTTCTTCTACATTTTCTTATCCTCTTCTAGCGATTGTCCTCTTTCCTCTTGGTTAAAACTTTTTTGAAAGTAGTTGATCTTCCTTATTAGCATTTCCTGATCTCCCTTCAGTTTTCAGTTCACTGTGATCCTATTTTCATACCATTACTACTACTCTTGCTGAGGTCACTAATGACCCCGACCTGTCAAATATAAGGGTCATTCTTTAATCTTTGTTCTTATTTTGACCTCTTTGCTGCATTTGACAGTATGAGCCCCTTTCTCTTTGAACCACTTTTCTAGTCCTGATTTTATTTTTTTATTTTATTGTTTAAAGTATTACAAATAGTAATACATATGTCTCCTTTTTGCCCCATTGACCTCCCCCCGGCCTCCCCTACCCCACAGCACATACCCTCATCCCCTCCCAGCATCTTGTGTCTATTGGTTATGCTTATATGCAGGCATACAAGTCCATTGGTTGATCTCTTAATCACCCCCCAACCCTCCCTAGCCTTCCCACTGTAGTTTGACAGTCTGATGCTTCTTTGCCTCTGTATTTATTTTTGTTAATCAGTTTATAATGTTCTTTATAGTCCACAAATGAGTGAGATCATATGATATTTATCTTTCACTGACTGGCTTATTTTGCTTAGCATAGTGCTCTCCAGTTCCATCCATGTTGTTGCAAATGGTAAAAATTCCTTCTTTTTTACAGCAGTGTAGTATTCCATTGTGTATATGTACCACAGTTTTCTAATCCACTCACCTGCTGATGGGCATTTAGGCTGTTTCCAAATCTTAGCTATTGTAAATTGTGCTGCTATGAACATAGGGTTGCATATATCCTTTCTGATTGGTGTTTGTGTTTTCTTGGGATATATTCCTAGAAATGGTATTACTGGGTCAAATGGCAGTTCCATTTTTAATTATTTGAGGAAACACCATACTGTTTTCCACAGTGGCTGCACCAGTCTGCATTCCCACCAGCAGTGAAGGAGGGTTCCTTTTTCTCCAAAAAGTGTCTACTTAGGTCCTTTGCTCATTTTTTGATTGGATCATTATCTTCCTTTTGTTAATTTGTATGAGTTCTCTGTAAATTTTGGAGATTAAACCATTTGGGAGATATCATTGGCAAATATGTTCTCCCATGCAGTGGGCTTTCTTGTTGTTTTGTTGATGGTTTCTTTTGCTGTGCAGAAGCTTTTTATTTTGATGTAGTCCCATTTGTTTCTTTTTTTCTCCTTAGTTTCCATTGCCCTAAGAACTGTATTGGTAAAGTTATTGCTATGACAAATGTCTGCTATTTTGCTGTCTATGGCTTTTTTCTTAGATTTTTATGGTTTCCATTTTATGTTTAAGTCCTTTATCCATTTTGAGTTTATTTTTGTATATGGTGTAAGTTGGTGGTCTAGTTTCATTTTTTTGCATGTATCTTTCCAATTTTCCCAACACCATTTATTGAAGAGACTGTGTTGACTCCATTGTATGCTCTTGCCTCCTTTGTCAAATATTAATTGAGCATAATGGCTTGTGTTGATTTCTGGGTTCTCTGTTCTGTTCCACTGGTCTATATGTCTGTTCTTGTGCCAGTACCAGGCTGTTTTGAGCAGGATGGCTTTGTAGTATAGCTTGATATCTGGTATTGTGATGCCTCCAACGTTGTTCTTCTTTTCTAGTCCTGACTTTAACCAAACTATTCCTTCATGGTTCTCTTTCTATCTTTCAGGCTGCTTTTTCACAGGCTGACTCCTGTATAACCCCCTTTCCTCTACTTTCCCTTTAAAGGTCACTGCTTTTTCAGGTCTTTCCTTTTCTTACTTTGGTCTCTGCCTAGACAGCACCAGCCATACCCACAGTTTCCACTACCATCTCTAATTATATAATGATCAAATCTACACTCAGGCCCAGTTTCCAGACCCCTACTGAACTTTAGACCCACATATCAATTATCCACTGAACTCTCCATTAGATGTCCCTTAACTGCTTGAGACTCACCATGGCCCAAATTGAAATCTTAACTCTCTACACAAATTAAAACTTGTCTCTCCTTCTCTGTTCACTATTCAGACTAATGGTGCTGTTATCCACACATTTCAGAATCATCCTTAACTTCCCCTTCTCATTTTTTAGCCCCAATACTACTATCTTATTTCAGGCCTTTTTGCTTTTCACAATTTTAGTAGCTCTCTAACTGGTCTTCCTAAATCCAAATTCATGTCCACCCAATCCATTCTCCTTACTGCCACCACAGTGAGCACATCTTATCATGGAACTCCTCTTTTTTTAACAACTCAATGGTTCCCTGTTGCCACCAGATGAAATGCACACTTGTTAGTCTGACCATTGCCCTCCTGTGCAGGCCTGTCTCTCCCCACTTCTTCACTCTACACCTAGCCTCAATCAAGTTACTTAGAATTCCTCACCAATGTCATACCTCCTTGCCTTTCTACATGCTGTCATGTTGTGCACTCTGCCTGGAATGTCCTTTTCAATATGACAAAAGCCTATCATCTGACAAGTCCACTTTAGTTGTCTCCTCTTCTTTGGTTATTTTGTGCCTGTTGTACTTGGTATGGACTGTTATTGTTTTAGTTACCATTGGTTTGTAGTCGTCCATGTGTTTGACTCCTTTGTATCCCCAGTGCACATCATAGTGTTTCTTGTATAGTCACGGAGTAATTATTGGTTAGATGTGTGGAGGAATGAATGAGTGAATAAATTAATTTCTTCTCTTTTATCACCTGAGGAAATCCTACTCTTTCTTTAAGGCTCAAGCTTCCCTGAACCCTACAAAAGGATATAGTTACTACACATTGCTCTATAGCAGCATTTTTTCACTATATTGTATTTATTTATCTTTGGTCACTCTAGTTTGTGAGCTCCTTGAAGCAGAACTGAGTCTCATCTTTGTATCTCTAATACATAGCACATAAGTGGCACAGAGAGATACATAATTAAGTGTTAGAATGAATAAGTGAATGCTTATTATCTATCATTGCCAAAATTACCCAGATTGAGTAACTGCCCAGATTTTACATCATTCTGATTGCACAGAAACTGTGCCAAAACAGGTAAACCTCTCCATCTTAAGTTGGAAGAATTTATGTTAGTAAAACTAAGTGTCTAAAGACTCTATAGGTAATTATTTGTCAGATCAAGGATTGGAATGCAAAACTCTTCTGGAATGCATGTTTTGGGGCATGAATTTTTCCTCTTGCCCACTCCTCTCTCTTAGAGTTGATCCTTCTCTTCTTCAGAAGTTTGATGCATTTAGAACTTACTTATTTTTCTTTTTATCCTAAATTATGTGTTGGTTTTGATTTTCTTTTCCCATTAGGTAAGTTCTCCTTTTGTTGCACTCCTTTATATATATTTTTCATTCCCTATAGAGGATGCCAATATTATGAGAATAAATTAATGTAGCCCAGTAAAACCAGGTACTCTGTGCTATAGTGATGCTATTTGGCCTACTTATTAACCCAGCATGCTATGTAAAAGTTATCTATGCTACTTTTTATCTCTTGTCTTCATAGGCAGTGAAGGTAGAAAAGGCCAATGTCTTAGTCCACTGTTCTGATGAGTGGGACCACACAGCACAAGTCTGCTCTGTGGCCAGCATCCTCTTATATCCATTTTATAGGACATTCAAAGGTCTCATGGTAAGAGAGTAAACAATTGATATTTTACTTTGCATAAATGACAGATTATGGATAAATAATAAAGAACTCTCAACCAATTTGTTTTCTACAAGAAGTTCCAAATCTACAAAATCTCTTTTTCAGCTTAGCTTCTTTCTACTAAATTAAGCATTTGCAGTCTACATACTTTCTGTTGTATATTCAACATAGTTTACCTATCAGAAGGTAAGTTGTATGTAATAGGCTGCTATAAATGGTAGGAAAGACTAAAAAGTTTGCAAAGCTGAGAGGATGACTGTTAAATAGGCTGTTAGATGGGTTCATCATCTTCCACATATCAGCTGATTGGATGTCAGATTCATGATTTTTTTCTGGTTCTGAATCTAAGGCTTCTTAATTGATTTTTCTAAAAAATAGGTTTTTAAGAATGCTTTTTTTAAAAAGGCTGAAAATAGGTTTGTACCAAGAACAAATCTTGGTACAAACTCAAGTACTAACTTTGGAGTCCTGTTTTTTCATAGGTTGAATATAATATCATCCCAAGTACTAATTTTGGAGTTCTGTTTTTTTATAGGTTGAATTTAATATCATGTTTATCAGGATTGCATTTATCTATGGCTCAAATAGCTTGTCACACATCATGTAAAAGCCAAAAGAAATGTGATACTGGATACACATCCAGAATAATTTTTCCTGAGAGCATTTGAAATTTGAAGGAAGAATGTACAGGCCTTTAAAGGAAATACAAGTCACTTAGTTATCATTTGGGAAATTAACTTTATTATTATCAGTTCAACCTAAACTTGTATAAAGTCCATTTTAGCAAAGTGCTTTGATTTATCTGTACTAGAGGCCTGGTGCAAAAAATTCATGCACTGGAGAGGGGAGGGTGTCCCTGCACCCTCTCCAATCTGGGACCCCTCGGGGGATGTCTGACTGCCGGTTTAGGCCTGATCCCACAGACATCCCAATCGGCAGTCAGACATCCCTCTCACAATCCAAGACTGCTGGCTCCCAACCACTTGCTTGCCTGCCTGCCTGATTGCCCCTAACTGCCTCTGCCTGCCAGCCTGATCACCCCCTAACCACTCCCCTGCCAGCCTAATTGATGCATAACTGCTCCCCTGCAAGCCTGGTCCCCCCCAACTGCCCTCCCCTGCCGGCCTGGTTGCCCCCAACTGTTCTCCCCTGCCAGCCTGGTCACCCCTAACTGCCCTCCCCTGCAAGCCTGGTCTCCCCCAACTGCCCTCCCCTGCCAGCCTAGTTGCCCCCAACTGTTCTCCCCTGCCGGCCTGGTCACCCCTAACTGCCCTCCTCTGCTGGCCTGGTCCCCTCCAACAGCCCTCCCCTGCTGCCTGGTCATCCCCAACTGCCATCTCCTACAGGCCCTATTGCCCCCAACTGCCCTCCTCTGCAGGCCTGGTCCCCCCAACTTCCCTCCCTCCCCTGCTGTCCTGATTGCCCACAACTGCCCTCCCCTGCCGGCCATCTTGTGACCACATGGGGGTGGCCAACTTGTGTGAGGGTGTGATGGTCAATTTGCATATTACCTCTTTATTATATAGGATGGCTAATTTATTTTATGATTTTCCTAATGCAAACTTTTTTTTATTTTGGTATAAAAATGAAGATCCTGATTGAAAAGGAATAGATATCCATGGGCCACACGTTTTCCCAAAGGTAAAAATATCTTAATTTTAAGTGAGGAGACTAAGAAAAGGTCATTAGGGTTAGGTTTATCAAAACACAATAATGTCTTGTGTATAAAGGAACAGTAAGTTGAACATGGCATATATCTCTTTTCATCAGGAAATAAGTATTCCAGATACTGTGCTAGGGAACTAGGGCTACAAAAGTGATTAGAATATTATATCTGCCTTTAAAGTGTATAAATAATTATATCAAATTGTTAAATATTTCAGGGATGAACAAGATATCAAAGACCGTGAGGAAAAATTGCTTAATTATGCTTGAAGAAGTCAGGACAGGCATCCAGAAATAGGCAGAATTTGAAGATGAATTTTGGGGGATGAATAGGAATTTGCTAGACAGAACAGTGGATTGAGGAGGGTATCCAGACAGAGGGAATAACATCTAAGAAAATTCACTCTTTAACCTTTTATAAAATAAAGAAAGGTGAAGATTTCTGTTCTTTAGAAAAGGGTGGTGCAAGGGCTGACATTAATCTAGTGTCTGCTACAAGGCAGACAGCCTCACTGAGGCTTTAACTATGTTATCAGAACAATCAAATATCTACCAAATACCTAACAATGTTCTATAGACACTGAGCTGGTTCTAAAGGCTCATAAAATTCTTTACCCTTAAAGAAGTTAAAATTCAGGACCTATTCTCTTCCATTGGTGTATATCCACTTAATTTCATTTGTTTGCCATTCCTAGACATTTGTTTCTATTCATTCACTTTCCCTTCATCAACAAACATTGGGCCAGGTAATATACCAGGTTTTAAGGAGACTATGTTGAATCACATATGGTCTCTGTCTCTTCTTTTATAGAAAGAAAATCAATGATGACAGTTTAGTTTGATAAGTGTTAAGACAAAGGGAAACATAAACAAAATAACTTTACCCATTCTGGGGCACAGAAGGCTTCCTAAAATTGGTGGCATTTTAGAACATCCAAGAATATAGGTTGAGGATTTGAAAGAGACAGTGGGTGTTTGATAGAATAAGATTCCTTAGGAGACAAGAGGGAGTGAAAGCTATAATTCAAATGAAAAGGTTAGCTAAAGCTATAACTAAGATCACCTCTTCCATGGAGACTGGATGGAAGGACAGGCAGTGAAGAAATTAAATGGGTGACTGTCAAAGACAGAAGTTAGCTATTTTTACTTGGTGGCCTTGACTTTTTTCAGTGACACTATAGACACCAGAGTGAAATAGATTAGGAGTTTGAGAAGATAGCTTCAATTTTGCAAGAGCTGTAAGGTTGATGGGAAAAAAGTGTTAAGGACATACATAAAACTTATGGGGGAACAATTCTAGCTGAGTATGGAGACTTTATTTCATTTTTTATTAAATTTATTGGGGTGACACTGTTTAATAGTATGGTTCAGGTCTCAAGTGTACATTTCTATTATACATGATCTGTATATTGTATTGTGTCCACACCCAAAGTTATATCATCTTCCTTCACCAAATATTTGACCCCTTTATGCTCCCACCACTCCCCCACCCCCTTCCCCTGGTAACCAGCATAATATTGTCTGTGTCTATGAGTTTCAATTTTGTATCCCACATATCAGTGCAATCATATGGTTCTTAGCTTTTTCTGACAGACTTATTTCGCTGAGCATAGTAACCTATAATTTTCAGTATATAGATCATTCATGTTCTTTGTTAATTTTATTCCTATGTATTTTATTTTTTCTTGCAACTGCAAAAGGAATTGTGTTGTTATTTTTCATTTCTCTTTCTAAGTTTCATTGGTAGTATATAGGAAAGCAGTGGACTTTGTACATTGATTCTATATCCTTCAACTTTACTGTGTTTGTTTATTGGAAGCCCGGGTCCCGGGTGCCTGCTGGTGGCCAGAGGGAAGCCCAGGGCCCAGATGCTAGAGGGAAGCCGGTGCCGGCAGCCAGGGAAAGGAAGGTACTTTTGCACAAATTTCGTGCATTGGGCCTCTAGTCTATTAATAAACCATAGTTTATCTTTTCTAGTACAGGTTGGAGAGGGAGCTTATTTTGCATCTTGTATTACCACCCAGAATATTACTTCATTGAACATAAGCACTATTATGGTACTTAGAAGACAAGCAGAAATCCTAATACCTGTTAATCCAGTGGTTCTCAACCTGTGGGTTGCGACCCCTTTGACAGTCAAACGACCCTTTCACAGGGGTCGCCTAAGACCATCCTGCATATCAGATATTTACATTATGATTCATAACAGTAGCAACATTACAATTATGAAGTAGCAACGAAAATAATTTTATGGTTGGGTCACAACATGAGGAACTGTATTTAAAGGGCCAGAAGGTTGAGAACCGCTGTGTTAATCTCACCAGGAAATGGCAAGGCTCATCAGCTATTGAAGTCTTAGAAAGAGCATTGAATCAATTACGGCCCAAAATATTTTGGGGAATACTCATTGCAGCCATCATCTTGGCTGTTGTTATTCTTACTACTGCCAGTATCACTGTGGTGGCCCTTTCTGAGTCTGGGCAGATGGCCACATTTATAGACAATCTGGCCTATAATGTAACTAAAAAATTCACTATACAACAGCACATAGATAAAAAGAAATATTAGCTAGACTACAGGCAATAGAGGCAGCCATTGAATATCTGGGGGAAAGACAGGATGCCATAACATACAGGCAAGTGCTTAATTGTGATTAGGAGCACAAGCACATATGTGTCACTCCTTTAAAATGGAACAGTAGTCACCATCAGTGGATTGATGTTAAAAAGCATCTATATGGAGTCTTTCATAATAACCTTACTGAAGAAGTAAACATGTTGCAAAGGCAAATTAGAGAGTCCTTACTTGCTATCAATAAACATGAAAAACAGACTGCTGCTTAAAATAAGGTAAAAGAGCATTTATAGTGGTTAGACCCCACCACATGGTTTCCTAAAATCAATTAGTACCTGATTGGATTTACCATTTCTGTCTTTGTAATTCTCTTTGTTTTTCTTATAGTCTACAAAATCAAAACTCCAGCAGTGAACGTGCTTCACAGACCCCGACCTTCCAAAGCAGAAAGCTTGCTGCCTCCCTCTGTCTTCTACAGCCAGCAAAACAAAAGTGGGGGAGATGTGGGGAAGCATGGGAATTGGTTGGAAAGTCTGTAAGGAGGATTCTCCAAAAGGTCAGGGGCCTCTGGGGGGAACTTGCCGAAGGCAGCAGCCCCTGCCTTGACTTTTCCAAACAAGTCCAGTCCCCTGGGTGTTCTTCTAGAATCTCTATGTTTAGTTTTTAAAGACCCGAACTTGTAGAAGCATGTGCTTTCTCAAGGATACTTACCCTGCTGATTATATCTAGAGGTTAATTTTAGTTCAAGTGTTGTTATGATAAAAGCCTAACAAGGCAGGCAATTGAGTCTGTTTTCCTTCCAAAAGCCAAACAGCCCCTTAGCCTTCTCTTTCACAGAAATTGTGTCAGAGTAATCTTTTCATCCATTGCTCAGGGTCTGCTGGTCAGTTCCGGCAATATTTGCTTTGTGGTGAAATGTGCACCTTGACCTGACTATGTAAATATAGAATTTCCAAAGTCCATAAAAGCTGTTTATAAGCCACTCAATAACATCATCATGTAACCCTTGCATAGATAACCCAACAGAAGGCTTCTGTAGGTATCTACTATTGTTAAGGCATATTTAATGTACCTGTCTACTGCAGGGAGGGGCCCAATGAAATTTATTTGTCATTTGTGATGTGGTCCTTCTCTATAACTTTCCTCCTCTCATGCAGTAGTCTCAGTGTCTTGATTTCTGGCATATGGTACAGTCTCTACTGGCTTTGTGTAAATGTCTCTCTGTTGGTTTGACTTTTCTATAACAATCTAGTTCTGAAAACCAATAATACCCAAATGCGTTGACCTATGATGTGCTTACCAATTGCGTGGTTCATTCCTAAGTTCTGCGGACTCTCTGTTCTTTGAGATGTTTACCTGATGTGGTGGTTTTTAGTCAGCATTGACATTATATTGTACCTCCTCTATGTCTTGTTTGGCATGAGCCAAAGTATGGTGCACCAGGATGCACAGAGTGGGAGCCAATGTGGTAATTTTCCCTCCTCATCTCTTTACCACAAATTTCTTATATTTTTTAGCCTTGATTTTGCTGAAGTCCTGACCAAATAGCTCACTAGCCACAATCCAGGAATTATTGAAAATGTGGACCTTAGGAAAATGTTAGTCAAGGGCATGCTCTGTTGTTATGAGTATTGCATGAAGATCAGCCCATTGGGTACTTTGGTCTATTCCTATATAGAAATGGAAGTGTTTTTAATATACTTTTCATTGTTGGTAGTATTACAGATATCTCCCCTTCCCCCTCCTTTCCCTCCTCCTCCCAGCCCCTACCCCCAATGTCTTCACTACCCTATTGCCCATGTCCATGGGCTATGACTATAAGTATATAAGTTCTTTGGTTTATCTCTTCTCATCCCCCCAACCCCACATTGAGGTATGTCAGTCTGTTCCATGCCTCCATGCTTCAAGTCTTATTTTGTTGGTCAATTCATTCTGTTCATTAGCTTCCACAAATAAGTGAGATCATGTTATATTTTTTTTCTCAGATTGGCTTATTTCAAATTTAGCATAATATTTTCCAGGTCCATCCATGCTGTCCCAAAGAGTAAGAGAGCCCTCTTTATTACAGCTGCATAGTATTCTACTCTGTGAATATCCCACAGCTTTTTTATCCATTCATCTACTGATGGGCACTTGGGTAGAAATTGAAGGTTTTAATAAAGGCAAATTGAATTGTCTGGCCCCCATATATTCTGTGCTCACTCCATTAATGAAGAAAAACTATTACTTTTATTGTTCAGTGAGTACTGACCACCTCACATTCAGTCCCCACTGAGCAAGAGTCAGAGGCATTTCTCAGGGTTTTGACCAGTTAAATGCAATAGTAGGTGAGTAATGTGTTGGAGCCAGAATCCAAATATTCCTATCAAATGTTGGACCTTTGGTACTAATGTGGGAGGTTGAAGTACTAGGAGCTTTTCTTTTACCAGATTGGGGATACCAGTTCACCCTTCTGAGTTCCAAATGTAGCTTGAAAATTTAACAGATTGGAAGAAATCTTGTACCTTATGCAGGGCATTTGCCCATCCCCTGTCCATGAGGGGTTTATTCCTGGTTGTGATGGCCTGTGAAAGAGAGTCCTGGTCAGATCCACTGAGGAAGATGTCATCAATACAATGGCAAAAGTGAGTTTCTATTGGTATGTGGAACTGTCATCTAGGTCCTGTCTTCAAAGCATATGTATGCTCACAGAGTTATTTACATATCCCATAGGCAACCAAGAAAATATATGCTTTGACCCTCAAAGGCGAAGGTAAAAATTGTGGTTGACTGTCCTGCAAAATTTTTACTGAATAGAACATGTTAGTCAAGTCTGTAATTCCAAAACATTTATATATGTTGCTTTGGATGTTAAAGTGAAGATATCTGGTAGAGATGTTCTAACAAAAGGAACAGGCTTTTTCAACTCTCTCTAGCTTATCTCCACCTATTAGTAGTAACTTTATAGCCTAGGCCATACCAGGGAGTTGAAAGGTGAGAGAATAGGAATCAGTACCCTTCTTTAACTAAATCATCTTTGGTAGGCCATAATCCTTCAGTATCTTGCCTTGGACAGTATTGTGCCATATTTACCACCTGCACCAGCAATAGAAGGTAATTGGTTTCCACTGTGTGGTGCCCAACAATAGTGTAAAAGCCTTAAGTTTCTTCTATAAGGTACTTGCTGACCGTAGGAGTCCAAGCCAGTAATGGGAAAAGGGATGGTCTTGGTGGGGCTGGGGAATGGTTACAAACAGGACAGAAGCATATTTTTGCAGAACTAAGACAATTTTAGTAGTTTAGTGGGTAATTAGTCCTTTAATTAATTTAATTACTCTTTCAAACCTAATCACCTCCTGGGTGGAGAGGGTTGTGGGGGGGGGTCTCTTAATAGCATGAGTGTGATTCCTAGCATTAGGGAGATTTCGGCAACTATGTCCAACAGAGCCAGCCAGTGATTTTTTTTTTGGGGGGTGCCCAAATTATAGTTAATATGGTTAAAGGGATGATTGTCTGCTAGAAGTGGCCAGCTTCTGCAACCATCCCTTCTGTGACTGCCAGATCTTTATGTGGGGAGGTTACCTGCCACGGGAGGAGATCAGGGGTAGGATTCAAAGGGGAGGCTGTCTTTGAAGTGATGCCTGCCGAAGATTGTAATCTAACCCTAGTAAATACTGTAATTGCTCTACCAATTTACCAAAGATCATCCAATTTGAATTCTCCTTGTCTCTTATGATCCAGTATAACTTCTCATTCATCTCATAGTTCACATTTAAGTGGGGGCCTGGTTGCAGGTGTTTTGTTTGGCCTAGAGGAGAGAGGAATCACTATTTTTTTTTAAATTAATAAATCTTTTATTGTTCAGATTATTACAGATGTTCCTCTTTTTTCCACCATATCTCCCCTCCACCAGGTTCCCACCCCACCCCATGCCCTTACCCCCTACCACTGTCCTCATCCATAGGTGTAAGATTTTTGTCCAGTCTCTTCCCACACCCCCCACACCTCCTTCCCCCCAAGAATTATCAGTCCATTCCCTTTCTATGCCCCTGCTTCTATTTTTTTTTAACCTAAAACATTTTAAAACTTGAGCATAACATTTCAAGAACAAAAAGTGTTTTAAGTCCCAATTTCAATGTCCAAGAGTTCTGAGTCCAAGTTTCAATGTCCGACAGTTCCTTATGTGTAGGTGTCAGCAATGATATTTCAGTTCTGGATGGTGGACAAATGGTGGCAATGCAGGTCCGACCCTCTCTGGTTTGATCCTGGGCAACCTGCAGCGACGCACAGCTGCTGACTGCTAGCATGGCAAAGTGACGTCAGCGTCCTTCATCTCTGGATTGTTTTTCCTCTTGTCTTCATGGCTGGAGCATTCCTGATAATTGAGAGGAATCACTATTGATAGCAATTTCAATTTAGGCCAAATGGAGTATTGCTTACAGAATTAATAAGCAACACTTGACTCCAAGTTTTTGTCTTTCATGAGTTTCTACTAAATATAGGGCAGCTATGACTTCTTGTTTTAGCATTAGCTATCATGGCCCATAAAGAGGACTTATACTTATCTAGAGACCCCCTCCAAAAAACAACTGGATAGATTCAGAATTTCCTCCTCTGGAATTTCCAAGTCATCATGCTGCATGCCATAATTCATCAATCCATCACCTCATAAACCTCCAGATCAGCGGTTCTCAACCTGTGGGTCGCGACCCCTTTGGGGGTTGAATGACCCTTTCACAGGGGTCGCCTAAGACCATTGGAAAACACATATTTTCGATGGTCTTAGGAACGGAGACACCGCTCCATTATCCGTCTCCAGGCGGGTATGCCCACATGCAGATACGCCCACATACGAGTACCCGGTGTGATGACATCATTGCACCAACCGTATCACATACACCCTGTACAACTACAGGTGTATGTGACAGGGTTGGCACCATAATGTACTTATGCGGACCAGTCACACATGTGTAGAGAGCAGCTACTGTGTAGAAAGCAGCTGCTGTGTTGAAAGCAGCTACTCTGTTAGAAGCAACTACTGTGTTGAAAGCAGCAGTATTAGAGGTAAAACAGCACTACTTGAATTATAATTACTGGGTAAATGTAAAATCATGTACTGTAAAGTCATCAACTACTGCAAAAAAAGAAAATATCTGTACCATGGGAACTTAATCTGGATGCTGAT